GTATAATAATTGTGGAATGATTATTCACATAAGAATAATGCCATGACATAATGTCGTATGCAATACGTACCGGGGGTGAGATGAATAATGCCATTGTGGGAGTTCATTTGTTTGTGAGGTAGTAGCGTTTTGCAGTGGAGACGCTGTTCGAATAAAGTTTGTTATGCAAATATATGAATATTTAGAGTGACATAATTTTTATACTTCGTATAACAGAAATATGTAACACACCATCACTAATTTCATTAATGGGAGCATATGCGGGATGATAGTCATGACCATCGCTTGCAGATACTCCACTTTGTGACGGGGCATTCAAACGACTCTCCAATGTTGTACGCTTTACTCTCATGTGATCTACCTCGTCTACATAACATTAAAATTCAGATATACTTATCATAACATTACTTACTTAAAATTCACCAATGTTCTATTTACAAATGGAAAATAAATAATAAATATGAACATACTATGTCAAGCATATGCACGAAAAATTAGTGAGGAATATGCAAATAGTTATTTGTTAATTAAAGATATGGTCAAAATAGGTCATGTAAATAATCTAAAATTCAATACATGTTGCAAATAAAAAATCGGAGGTTAAGAAGTTGTTCTGTTCGTCTTATTCTTATTACTTATTGCTTATTTTTATTTTATTCAGATCAGATCAGACCAGACCAGAACCATTCAAATCAGATCAGAGACATTTAGATCAGATCAGAAACATTCAGATCAGATCAGATCAGAAAAGTTCAGAAACATTCAGAAACATTTATGTATTATTATTATTATTATATTATTATTATTATTATTATTATTATTATTATTATTCTTATTATCTTATTATTATTATTATTTCCATTATTATTATTATTATTTTCATTATTGTTATTATTGTTGTTGTTATTATTATGTTGATGATTAAAAAATTGTTATTATTTTTATAATAATTATTATTATTAGAATTGTACGGAGTAATAGAAATTATAATTATATAAATAAATATTATAATTACAGTTACAATTATAATTACAAAAATATTTATCATTACAAATTAAAAATATAATTAAAATCATAATTCTAGCTATTATTATATTTAGTGTAATAGTTATAATAAAAAATGTACCTATTATAAAATGTTAATTATAATTATAATTATAATTTTTTATAATTATGATTATTATTATATTTATATTATATTTATAATTAAAATTATAATTATAATAACAATAATAAATGTATATACTTTTAGAAATATTCTAATCAGATCAGATCAGAACGATTCAGATCAGATCAGAAGGATTCATATCAGATCGGAAGGATTCAAATCAGATCAGAAAGATTCAGATCAGATCAGACCTAATCAGAATGATTCAGATCAGATCAGAAATATTCAGATCAGATCAGAAAAATTCAGATCAGATCGGATCAGATCAGATCAGATTAGAAAAATTCAGATTAGATCAGAACATAAAAAATTTAGACCAGATTATAATACTTTTATAAATACTTTTTATATTTGAAAAATTCATTGATAGCCCAATGGTTTAATTTAAATGAAAGATTAATTGAACTTAATGCCCAATGCCTGAATTCAGAGCCCATATCTAATTGGCCCATTTCTCATTTTAGTTTAGGTCTGTGTATGAGTATATATTCATCATATTAACATCACTCACCTCACCTCACTTCACTCTACCGCACAGCCGCACTCCCTAAACCGCAGCTCTGGAAGTCTCCAGAGTCTCTAATCCATACGTATGTTAATAAAGGGCAACAAAGTAATTTTAAAAAATCATTTAATATGTATCCATTAGAGGTTTTACTTGCCCAAAAAAATAGGAAGAGATAAAAGGTCAACTCACATAAAATATTATTAGTTTAAAAATCGATTGGGAAAAGGGGCAAATAAGGCCATGTACTAACCAAAAAAGGTCAAATAAGGCCTTATTTATGAGGCTCTGTCCGGCCTTCGCCATTTGGGGTGGTTCTCGGTGGAATTTTTTGATGATTTTTTTTTGACCATCTTATTCATTAAGTCTAGTTTAGTCATTCCAAATTTCAGATAAAAATTTAATCGAAAAGGCATTCAAATGAATTCTTGAAGATAATTGCGCTTCTAACTGCGCAATTATCTTCAAGAATTCATTTGAATAGCTTCCCGATTGAAGTTTTAGCTTAAATTTGGTATGAGTAAACTAGACTTACTGAATAAGATGTTCAAAAAATTTCATCAAAAAATTCCACCGAGAACGAACCCAAATGGCGAAGGCCGGACAGAGCCTCGTAAATAAGGCCTGATTTGACCTTTTTTTGTTAGTACGTGGCCTTATTTGCTCCTTTTTCCAAAATCGATTTAACTTTTAAAATAATAATCTGATTTTAACAAAAATTATATCAAATTAAATATTTTTTTCTCTCTTTCATATGACACCAATATGTCATATATAATTTTCTTTTAAAAAATAAGTATAATATGAATACAATAAACCACAAGAAACATCTTCATATATACATGCACAAGAATATGTATCAGACACACAATCACTAATATCTAATGCATAACAGCCGGTATCTAAAACACAATACGTATAAGAAAAATTAAAACAAGTATCTTAAGCACAAAATCCAATATATAATGAACAAAGAACAATATCTGACATACAACAATTTAAAACTAATTAATATCTAAACATAAGGATTTCACATAACTTAAACTAGTATATAACACACAAGAAACAATATCTAATGCACAAGAAATGTTAGTGATTAGGTATGTACCTAACACACAAGAGCTATTATCTAACACACAAGAGCTATTAAAAAATTATTATATCATATGCAAATTATGATCCGCGTTAGAATAAATCAAGAGCTATTATCTAACACACAAGAATATGTAGCTAACACACACGTACAAATATCCAATACACAAGTACATGTGTTCAATGCACAATATGTATAACAAAACACTATAATAAGTATCTCAAGCACTAAATCCAATATTTAATGCACAAAAAGTAAGAACAAGTATGTCATGCACAAGAACCGATATCTAACACACAATCGTGAATATGTAATGTTTATGAACAGATATCTAACACACAACTCATTTATGTAATGCACATGAACATGTATATATCTCACATTTTGTATATGTCAATTGTGCATTACTGAATGTGTGTTATGCATATAAGAATAAGTGTACATTAGAATAATTTGTGTATCACTATATGTTTGTTGTGCACTATAGTCAATTGTACAATGATATTACGGAGTATTTAGAGTTTTTGAGAAAATGATTTTTGAAAATACAATAGTGCACAAAAGTACTTTACTTAAAAAAATCATTATTAAAATGAAGACATGGCTCCTTATGTTGAATATGTCAAACAAAAATAATGCAATGCACTACAGGGATGGACCGGTTCCGGTTCGGGCCTGGGCCCGACCGGGCCTCGGTTCATGAAGCGGAGGCCCGGAACCGGCCCGGGTAACCCCCGGATCCAGGCCGGGCCATGCCTCGATTCTAATTTATTTTTTATATTTTTTTTGGCTTTTCCTAGTTAACCCCCAACCCTCCCCCTCACCCCCAAACCAACCCTAACCACCTCAAATGGCCCAAAATACCCAGCCCAACCAAAAAACTTAAAAAAAATTCAAAAAAAAAAATGGCCAGGCCTGGGCCTGAACCGGCCGAGCCGGTTCACCTTTTGAAGGGCCCGAGCCCGGACCGCCATCCCACCATGCCGGGTGGCCCGAACCGGCCAACCAACAGGTTCACCGAGCCGGTCCGGGCCCACACAGTAGCGGGCCGGTCGGGTTCCGGGCCGGTTGGCCCGGCCCGAGTCCACTCCTAATGCACTAAGAATATTTTCTTTCCTAAAATGAAACACACGTATTAATTGAAATGACGGTTACAAAACTATCAAAATGATTTATACGAAAATGCCCTTTGATACTTATTCGATCATCTCAATGCATTGTATAATTTGAATGGCTCAGATTTGTTCTCACGTTCTCACGTTAAGATTCGTTCTCATTTGAATCAAAATCTATATATATAGACACACACACACATACACACACACACATCTGGTAAATGTCCACCGTCATTTACCCCATTGATTTTGGTGGTTTTCCTTCCGGGGTATTTTGAAATATATATATATATATATATATATATATATATATATATATATATATATATATATATATATATATATATATATATATATATATAAGATCTCATCTCTTTATTCATGGTTGTACTTGGGGGTGGCCAACAAAGAATAAAATTTCACTTTTGATCATTCGAGTATCGCATCAATTCTACAATTAGTTCATGTTTTTTACTTAAAAACACTTTTGATACATGACTATTGTTTTTTGCTCATATTAGGTCCTTCCGTTGATATTTCTGCCGGTTAAAATCACTATATAAGTGTTGGAAAATTGAACAGAAGGACCAAAATGGTTAAAAAATTACAATCCAATATCAAACGTGGAGAAAGTGAAAGACGTGAACTAAGTGTGAATAGGGGTGGACCCAACCGGCCCGGCCCGGCCCGACCCGCCACTGTGCGGGCTCGGACCGGCCCAGTTGGTGCTAACCGGGCCCGAGATTTTACCCGATTGGGGAGGGTTGGGCGGGCCGGGCTCGGGCCATATATTTGTTGAACCAGCCCGGGCGGTTCAGACCGGGCCCGGGCTTTTTTTATTTTTATTTTTTTGGTTTTTTGATTTTTTTTGTTTTTCTTAATTAGGGCTGGGTATTTGGGGGGTTGGGGGTTGGGGGTAGGGGTGAAGGGGGGGGGGGGTCGGGGGTTAATTAGAAAGCCAAAAAAAAACTTTGACCCAGGCCCGGCCCGGCCCGGACCCGGTATCAACCCGGGCCGGTTCCGAGCCCAACAATTTGAAAACAAAGCCCACCCGGGCCCGTCCGGGAACAGGAACCGGACCGGCCCGGGTCCATCCCTAAGTGAAATTGACATAAAACTCCAAGGACTAAAAGTGGAATAAAACTCCAAAAAAGTGTACTCGTATGAAAAAAATTCTTTCTGCCTGCAGCAGCTAGAAAAGAGAAGGTTTGCTGAAGAGTCCGCCAATATTTATTTAAATTACTGGACTGTGCATCATCAATCTGCCCGAAATATTATGACATTGAAGCTCAATGGGCTTCCGCCTTTGAAAACCTCTAAGATGCAAACATCACCCATTTTCAGCTTGTTGTCTAACACAAAGTCCCTCCATCCAGTAATCTTGACAGACTTTGATCTACCTATGGTGCATTTGGCGGACCATGATCTCCCACTCGAAATTAGCAATAAATCATTATGCTTTGAAGTAGAGAGGTTCTTAGCAAATGACAAGGGAATGCTCTGAAAAACAACAAAGCGTTAGTATAACAGTCTGTTTGGTAATTCCTTATTAACTTTATCGGTCAACTTTTTTACCAACACGTAATTTTTTATTTAGCGTATTGAATTGTGTAACAATCAAAGTGAGTTAGGTTCGAGTTACTTTTTTGACCGAATTGGCTCAAGTTAACGTGGAGGATCATTTTAGCCATTTTCATATAATTTTCTCTTAATTGATCAGTGAAATATATTTTAAATACTATGGATAATTTTTCTATAGAAAACTGTTAATTTGGCCCTTGTACTACACCGAAAATGTCGATTAACCTCGTACTTTAAAAACACTCAATTGAAATCTTGTACTGATGTACTCCTAAAAACATTCAATTGAGCGGTGCAAGGGCCATCCACCGATTTCCCGGTCAGATGCACGCATGGCAGTCCACGTGATGGCAGGTAGCACATTTTTCTTTTCTTTTTTCTTTCCCTTTCTTTCTTCTTTCATTTCTTCTTTCTTTTCTTCTTTCTTTCTTCTCTTCTCTTCGTTGCCAGCTCCGCGGTATGCCGGCCTCAGAGCCGTGCCTTCCTTAAGGCTGGTGACGCATCGGTCTCAGGGCCCCAAATAATTTAAAAAGTTAAGGGCCCAAATATTTAAATATCTTTATGTTATATGTATTCAAAATAATAAAACAAAATATGCTACAAAACTAACGGAACAATAGAGTAATCAACCAAATAGTGAAGTATAAAGACCTGTTTACTGAGCTTTGGAAGGGTTGGGTATGTTTACTGTTTGGCAGAATACTAGGGAGAATGTAACCATGCAAACTTTCATCAGAAGTTGGAATTTTTTATTGAGAATTCTAGAAACTCCCTTAGACTTTTCTTGCTAAAAACTTGCATGCCTTTTCCTTGCATTCAATCGGCCTTTAAATAGGCTTTACAAAGTTTGGAAAATAAAATAAAGAAAACAATATAAAATAATATCTCAGATCTCTAGGGATCTCAAATCCCTGTCAGTGACATGTCTATCAGATTTGTCTGATTTATTTCTCCCAGGATTTTATTTGTCTTCAAAATCAGTCTGATTTGTCTCTGTGATTTGCTGGTTTTTATCTTTCTTTCTTTTACGGTGATATTGACGCCCTATGAATACATCATTACTCCCTTCGAGCTTGTACTCAAGCTTGAAGGTAAGGAAATGAAGACTGAACTCATCGAAATCCTCCCATGTGACCTCATCTGGATGCATGCCAGACCACACCACTAAAATCTCTTTTCTGCCCCTGTTAAGATGACCTCGTAAGACCTCATTTGGCTGTGGCAGAAGCTTACCGTCGTGAAGATTAGGTAGTGTGGGAGGCTGTGCTGATGGCGTTCCCTTCAATAATGAAATGTGGAAAACAAAACATCATGAACTTTACTACACTCCGGAAGGGCCAACTTATATGTCACTTTACCAATTTTCTTGATGATCTGGAATGGTCCAAAATACCATGGAGATGATTTCGTTGATGTCCGTTTGGTTATGCTGAATTGACGATATTGGTGCAGACAAAGCCAAACCCACTATCCCTCATTGAACACAACGTCTCAGTGGTTATTGTCATATGCAAGACGCATTCTTCTTGAGCACGTATGAGGTGATTTCGAGCAGCGCTCAGGATTGCATCTCTGTCCTTCAAAACAGAATCTACTGCTTCTATTCTGGATCCTGGTTCGTAGGATATAAGCCTCGGCACGCCCATATATGACCTTGAAGGGCGAAGTACCCAAAGCCGAGTGGAGAGAGGTGTTATAGCAGAACTCAGCCCATGACAGCTAGTCTACCCACCTGCGTGGGTGATCTCCTACCATACATCTGAGTTACATTTCAAGCGTGCGATTAACAACTTATGTTTGACCATCCGTTTGTGGTTGATAAGATGAAGAAAAGGCCAAGTGTGTGCTACATAACTTGAAGAGTTCCTTCCAGAATAAGCTTGTGAAAACTGCATCTCTGTCACTGACTATTGTTTCAGGCAGGCCATGTAATTTAATGATATTACAGAAAAAAGAATGAGTCACTGACGCTGCTGTGTAGGGATGTGACAATGCCATAAAGTGAGCGTATTTAGAGAATCAATCCACCACTACATAGATAATTTATTTACCTCCGACCTTGGGTAGCCCGTCAATAAAATCCATTGAAATATCAGCCCATGTGTTCATGGATTGGTAGAAGTTGTAGTAAACCAGTTGGGTGCAAGTTTTCCCATTTATTCTTTAGGCAAATAACACAATTGGTGACAAAGTCCTGTACCGAAGATGTCAAGCCCTCCCAATAGAATTCCCTTTTTATGCGATGTTGAGTCTTTTGAATCCCTTCATGAGTAGCATTATGAACTGCTGTGAGGATGGTAGGGATATAACTAAAGTCGGTTGGCACATATATTTTGGACTTGTAATAGACCACGCCATCACGGACTGTCTAATTAGAATCCCCCCTTTGGCTGCTTTGTTGAAAACAATTTGGCATTCCTCGGAGTGCTGAGTGCTTCCTTAAGTCCTCCATTAACTGGGCGTGAATCATGTTAACTGCCATGAGGGTTGCTGGATTTGCATCCTTCCGTGATAAAGCATCTGCCACGCGATTCAGTTTTCCAGGTTTGTATTTGACTTCAAAATCAAAACCCAAGAGTTTACTTATACAATGTTGTTGCGGTGAGGTTGTAAGGTGTTGCTGCAGTAAGTATTTTAGGCTGTAATGATCAGTTCGAATCACGAAAGAGCGGCCTCAAAGATAGTGCCTCCAGTTTCGTATTGCTTGGACTAAGCCTATTAATTCCTGATCATATACCGGTAGCTTAAGGTGGCAGTCTGCGAGCTTCTTGCTGAAGAAGGCAATGGGGTGGTTTTCTTGTTGTAGAACTGCTCCAATACCCACCTCTGATGCATCACATTCAATTAGGAATGGCCTGGAGAAGTTGGGTAATTGCAATACGGTTATACGAGTGAATTGGACAAGGCAGTTTTAAGCTTGTCAAATGATGTTTGAGCTTCACTGGACCATTCAAATGCATTGCGACGAAGGAGTGAAGTTAAAGGTGCTGCATGCACACAAAAGTTTCGGATAAATCGTCGGTAAAAACCAGCTAGGCCAATGAATCCACGAAGAGCAGCGGTAGTGACTGATATAGGCCAATCAATGATTGCTTGAATTTTTAAATTATCTGCCGCACGCCGAAAACACATTTCTGCCTTTTTAGGAACAATTGATGAGTTTGGAGTAATCCAAACACAATTCTAATGTGTTGTAGATGCTCCACCCAAGTCTGACTATAGATTAATATGTCGTCAAAAAAGACCAAGCCAAATTTACGAAGATGGGGCTCAATACCTTATTCATAAGTGCTTGAAAGGTGGACGGTGCGTTGCACAAGCCAAATGGCATTACAAGGAATTCAAAATGTCCATGATGGGTGTGGAATGCTGTTTTTTCAACATCTTCTACGCTCATGCGTATTTGATGGTACCCTGAGCGCAAGTCAAGCTTTGTGAAGAACTGAGATCCATGAAGTTCGTCTAGGAGCTCATCAATTACCGGAAAGAGAAATTTATCCTTAACGGTCTGTGCATTGAGTTCCTGATAATCTACACAAAAGCGCCATTAGTTGTCACTCTTAGTAACCAAGAGTACTGAAGATGAAAACGGGCTTCGGCTTGGCTGAATTTGTCCTTTTTCCAGCATCTCCAAATACAGCTTCTCAATTTCATCCTTTTGCATTTGTGGGTAGAGATATGTCCCAGCTTTGAGAATAATACGGTGATCACAATTGCGTGTTGGAGGCAGTGCCATAGAATCAGAAAAAATGGTGTCAAAGTAACTTAGAAGCTCCTCCATTGCTTGATCATTAGAAATGGCAGGATGCATAGAATACAAAGGATGTTTTCTTTTGGACCGAAATTTGTTGGTCTGGTCTGATTTGGTCTGAACCATAGTAGTCGATGGCGCAATATGGCGCGCGCGCCATGCGCCATGTGGCGCGAAAAACCCTCTGCGCTATGAAAAGGGGCTGTGGTGAGGTGTATACACATGGCGTCGCCATTCCTGCGCCTTCGCCATTCCTGCGCCTTCGCCATGGCGATGCGAATGTTTTTTTGACAAAATGGGTCCGCGCAAGGTTGTCAAGATCGCAGCTTGGATCGGAAATTGCAGCCAGATTGCCGGATCGACGAGTTCACTCGTTAGATCGCGGAATCGTCGATCTCCTTCGATCTGCGTCGTTCGTGTCTGTACGGAAAGAATACGACGCACAGAGTCGGAATTCCGAAACGAGGCTATGGTCGGAAATCGGAAATGACGTAGACTGAAAGAAGCGACTCAAGTTTTAAAAAAAATAATGACCTGCGAAGATCCAACTCCCCAAGGCGACGCCTTCTTCAGTGTCGCAGTGTGGCCTTCTTCATTCGTATTCTTTAACGCTTGTTTTGTTCTTCTCAGAAAACGTTTTTTTCCTTTCTCCGTTACATCTCTCCATTACATCTTCTAGGACTTAAGATTTTTATTTACAAGCTGATTTTTTCAATCCTTTTTCCATATTTGTATTTTTTGTTTTGCGGATTAATTTATACCATTGAAAAATGGCATTATGATTAATATTTGAAATTTTTTAAGTTTAAATATATATCTACACACACACACATATATATATATATATATATATATAAATATGTATCTAAATACATACATACATACATATATATGATAGTTTTGTTTCTATGATAGTTTTGCAGTATCTATTATTCGTTTTGAAGGTTTTATTTTTTTTTGTCACGTGGCGACGCCATATTTGCGCCATCGCCATCGCCATGGAAAATGGCTCGTGCGCCATGGGTTGCGCCATGCGCCATGACAACTATGGTCTGAACCGATCTAAACCAAACTGGTAATGTCTGATCTATGTGTACTTTATAACTATGAAAGTCTGATCTGATCTGGTGTGGGACTGAAAACATTCCAAAAGAAAACATCCAAAGTA